AACAAAATTCAAAATATGGTGGCAACATTCAGCCAGTATCGCTAAAGTGAAAGAAATAATGTACGAAATTAAAATGAAACCCGCGTCCTTTAAAATCCTAGCCACTTCACCGAAACCGATTTCTAATAGTAATTTGTTTTTACCTTGACTGCATAGCGAAAAGATTTTTTATCGCTGAAAACAATGAATTCTTACATATTTTTTCAGGTAAGTTTTAATAATAAAATAATAAATTTAATGAGAAATTATACAATAAAGAGTAAAGTAAGAAAAATTGGTGTAAAATTTTACATTGTAAAACTTATTTTTCTTTGAGCTTATCTTACAATTACTTACACCTTTATTTCAGTAAATAAATACCTGCAATCTATACCATTTAGTAAGGTACCCACACGTAGGAGTAACATTTTTATCCGAGCTGAATTCTTGCCCATTTAATATTTCCACTTAGAAGATAATAGACGTGTCTGCACATTGCTTAGCGACCGCGGGTTTTTGCTTTCACGTCGTTTTAGTTAAGTAAGGTTTTATCAGGATTCTTCACCTGATGGAAAGTCGCTGTTGACGAGACGAAACTATCTACGATATGGCCCTTGGGCTACGTATCTGAAAAGCATGGCTTGTCATAAGTATAAGAAAGTTTTTATCTTTTGAACCAAAGCATGGTTCACGAGACGTAGGGTTGCTAAGTTTTCAAAATTTTTTTCATTTGACAAATCTGAGAATACATGGATACTTACGAGTTGAAGAAAAATACTGTCTTTCTAGACATTTTTTCAAGAAATTCAAAAAATGAAAAAAGAAAAATAAAATGTATTAAAGCTTTCAGGCATAAAACACCTGAACACACAAAGAATATTGGCACATTATTTCATAGACAACTAAAGTCAACAATCCTAATGTCAGACTTCGGCTGAGTTGCATCACCTAACTTTAACCGTAATTTTAACGATAGCCGGTGTTTTTTGTATGGAGCTTGACAGATTTTTGAAGTTTATTAAAGTCCAGCTTTATTGAATCGCGAAAATGTAACATTGTCAATATTGCTCATTTTGTAGATTGTAATGTGAATCACAGAAGCTTTGAATCCTCTTATCACTGGACCATGGAGACATTGGTAATCGTTTAGTTAGAAATAAGTAACAATGACGTCATATTCGTGACGTAATGAAGTCATCACCGCTCCCGCGGCCGCTCCAACCGTGAACGCAGGCCAATAAACTGCTCTCCCTCTTTATGGTAGTACGCAAATAAAAAAATATCGCCGCACAGCAAATATCAGCGAGGTTAAATTCGCACGTGTTACACAATAATCTTCTTCGTTGAGGTAAAATCCCATATAAATCTCCATTACCGTCTTTATCGCTTTTGCACAAAGAATAACAAAGTGCAGCGTGCGCCGTGCACGTTAGGCACAATATATTCTAGTTACGCTTGAGGCTTATAATCTCGGCGGAAACTAATGTGCTTTGTTTGCAAATTTGCAGAAAAGTGGGAGGAAGCACGCTATGTGTAGTTAATGAAAAGGTTTGATGCTTACTTTGGTATAGTTTTTAGGAATGTACTTGAAAAATAGCGGTTTGACTTTATTTTCACTTTACTCGTATCGAGTATTTTTGATACTTTCTTGGATAAATTGTAAAAATTACACTGATTCATAAAATTACACTGATTCATAAAATTACACTGAAAGAAAAGAGATAACTCTGTTAGTTTCTTATCAGGACATTAAAAATAGGCTGTAATTGTTTTTTTCGTGTCAAAATTCTGCAATGAAAAACATTAAAAAAATAAGACTGTATTTTTTTTAAATCGGTTATGAAATTGTTATACCCGGTCTTTGTATAGAATAAGGCTGACCCGCCGCTGTCGCGCCGAGTCAGCGTTTCTAAACTATGGGAGCGCCAGAGACCCCACTGAAAAGTTTAGTTCGGTTTGAGAGCTTGCTGCAACGGGTTGTCTTTAAAATTAATGTTTAAAAAGTGAATAAACTTTAAATACGTAACAAACTGTTTTTTAAAACTCCAATCTCGAGACCTCGTACAACATTTGGTGGCAGCTCAAGGGATTTAAAGAAATCCTCGGTAACCGCATCCGAAGTAACAGTGATCAGTGTGTGTGCGCGAAAACTCCGAACTCATTATCTCGCTGTATCTCGCCGTATCTCGCTGTATCTCGCTGCATCACACTGTGCTCTTCTACATCTCGCCGTGTCCCGTTGTTCCCGCTGTGTCCCGCTGTTCCCGCTGTGTCTCAACCCGTTGTACTCACCGAACCTACCATCATCACCGCATCCTGAGAAGAAGTTCCAGTATCCTCACCGTGTCCCGAGCTCCGTATCCTGTAAGAAACATCACCGTGCCGCTCCGTGCATCGCAGCTATCAACACGCCGTGTCACCGTCGTTGCGCAACCGAGTGCGCGATTGCGTCATCTATCCCCGTGTTCCCCGATTCAAAGAACAATGCACCTGATTGTCACACTCATCGCGTGGTAAGTCCTTGGTCATTGCTTTACCAATACAATAAGTAACCAAGCATAAATCTAAGTTCATTTTATTTTTAATTTGTGTTCTATTTCGTGTTTTTGTGTGTACCATAAATTTATTTTTGTAACCATGGCAACCAACGACGAGTTTTCCGACTCCGAATCATTCAACGTCCCGACGGCCTCTGCGTCCAAACCGGTCACCCGCAGTATGGCTTCTGTTCCTAAATCGGAAGACAAAATTGATCTAAACATACTACTCAAATTCATAAAACAATTTAATGGTGACAGAGACAAATTAAATCCTTTTATTTATAATTGCCAAAGCGCATTCAATCTAGCAAATGATACACAAAAACCTATACTATTCAAATACATGCTCAGCCAACTCGAAGGTAGAGCCGAAAGTATATGCAGTATCAAAGAATTTGAGACCTTCGACCAATTTGTAGAATTTTTGAAACAACAGTTTGGCGAGAGAAAGCACTACTCGCACCTGTTGTCCGAACTCCAAGATTCACGACAAAGTTTTAGCGAAACAGTAAATCAGTTCGCCTTACGTGTCGAAACCTGCCTAGCCAAACTACTTACAGAAATTAATATTTCAATTCCAACGAAACGTATGGAAAGACTAGCGGCCGCCCGCGACTTCGTACGCGTGGATCCCGTTTTATTATCCCCTTCATCTATCTTATGTGGTTTAGATTTTTTCATACAAATGTTTTTTCCCGCTAACTCTAATTTTGCAATATCCTGTTGTAACTAAGCTTTAAGTTTACTAAGGTACCTGCATGCCAAATTTTAAGCGTCTAACTTAAGCGGTTTAGATTTTTCATACAAAAGGTCTAAAAAAACTCCTAAGTATACTATCCAGGAGCCTGCCCTGCTGAACCTGCCCAGGAGTATGAAAAATAATTGTACCAAGTTTCGTTAAGATCCGTCGAGTAGTTTTTGTTTCTATAAGGAACATACAGAAAGACAGACAAAAAATTTACTGATTGCATTTTTGGCATCAGTAATCACCCCCTGATAGTTATTTTGAAAATATATTTCATGTACAGAATTGACTTCTCTACAGATTTATTATAAGTATACCTAGTCTAACACCCAGACCGGTCACAGAAATTAAAATGCATCATTTCAATTTCTGCCCGGCCGAGAATCGAACCCGGGACCTCTCGGCACAGTAGTCCGTTCTGAGCCCCGATTACGGTAACTTTTATAACGTCTACAATCCAGACGCGTTTCTGATTCTGCGATACGATTGGTCAAAACAGCTGACGTACGCTGTTGAACGACCAATCGTATCGCAGAATCGAGAAGCGTGTCTGGATTGTTGACGTTAAAAATTACCGTAATCGGGGCTCTGAACCACTACACCAAACGGCAGACGAATACATATACCCATGACAATTAACACATTTTATTTTTTTCATTAAAACATTTAACTGATGATACAATATCTATGTGCGGAAACGTCACGAAATCTGAATTTTAGCTGACCTCCTAACCCCTCATAAAAGCCAAGGTAAATTTTATTGATTGGTCTATGTTATGTTTAGGTTTTTTATTGATTTAAGGAAAGAAGATGCTTATTTCTGTTTAATTTTGTTTTTAATTGTAATAAAATATAGTTATTTTAATGTTCATATTTTTCATTTCACTTTCATTTATTCGACTGACTGTATTGTGTCAGTTTGCAACTGTGTCCACGTGGGAATGTGTCTGATTGAAAATGTGTCTCGTTGAAATTGTGTCCCGTTGAAACTAAATCAAAAAAACTAGATTGAAAAGTATCCTCATTTGTAGAAATGGCATGAGAAAAAGTAATCGCAGGTGGCAATTTTCTAAAAATGCACAAAAACTTAAAAATCTTGAAAACGGTGATATTTTTACTGGGGTCAAAATTGGACGTTAGGGAGACCATGGCGAGGCCTATCGATGGTTACAGGGTTATCCATTGTTTTTGGGACACCCTGTATTTATTTTCAATGAAAAAGCCAAATTATAGGCGTTAATTTGATTTCTGATTAAAACTATGAAAAGCTATCTTTGTTTCATTTAGTATTGCATTTTTTTATTTTTTGGTCATAAAATGGCAAGCAAAGCCGGGTGAAGAACTAGTATAAAAACAGTGATTGATACAAATAGTCAATTTTATGAAAAAATCGTAGCGTAGCCTGTACCTACTGAACAATGGGAAATGACTTCCCACTTGGATAAAATTTTGCATGCCGTTATGAATAAAGGGACATTATAAAACCCCCCTTTCCCCCCACTTTTCCAAGTTTTTGATAACAAATTTGTACGCACACGTTTGTATTTATCTCACAATTTTTTTCCATTAGATTAAGGGTTAAAATTGGGCCCAACATTATAGGCCAACTAAAAATCGGTTGCCTGCGCTTAGGCTCAAAGTGCTTGTGCACCCAGCCGTAAAACTTCATATTAAAAAAAAAGTTGACAGTGTTGACAGCTTGACTCATTGACTGACACTGACAGCTGACAGTTCACACAAGTTTTGCAGTGTGGGTTGGTGTTGTCGTGCGTGTATGTGCTAATCAAAGTTTTAAGGAAAATACTCGCATAAATTATTCCAAATCGTTTACGTGGTGTGGACTGCGGTGACAAAATAATAGGCACCTAAGAATAAAGTGATCATTAACTAGCGCAATAGTGTTCCATGATTTTTTTAGATCTTTTACATTATTAAACTATGAGTTCAAAGTAAACAACTTTCAAGTTTTTGATTTTATGGTGATTCATCACCATTCTACACAAACAATCTTCTTAGTGTCTAATAGTGCGATTAATGCGGAACGATTGATGGTGCGCACTAGTGTATGTATCCTAAGTGTAGAGACCTGATGAAGTGGTAATGGCTGTGGATGTGCTCGGGATAGCGTTATGGGGGCTTTTGTTTATTTCAACGGCGGCCTACAACGCGCGGGTGGCCCCCGACCGCCCGCAATGCTCCCCCGATGTCGGCGAGCGCTGTGTCATGAAGACTGATGGCGGTATCGACGAGTACCACTATGTTGTCAATGGTATGTTATTATCCATCAAATCGTCAGAATTGTTGAGTGAAATATTCTTTGTTCGTTTCAGCCAAATGACGTCTACTGCTGGACAAAAGCCTCCCATAACGACCGGTCCTGCGCTGCCCGCATCCAGGTTCTCCCTGACTGAGAAAAACATAGTCTTTGGTTATAAGTACCGAACATGCAAGTAATAAGTAGTGCAGTGTGGGACGGGATGTCCACCCTGAAAGTGGACCAATAACCACATAAAGGTAGCGGAAAGGCTGCTATGAACCGGTCTATATGAAAGTCATCGGAGGAGGCCTATGTTCAGCAGTAGACGTCTTATGGCAAATAGTAATACCTGCTTATGCAACTAGCCAGGCCAAGTCCAAGCACTTTTTTTTAATTATTTATTATATCCACTTTTAAGAATTGTTTTATTAAATTTGAATTAAATATGAACAGGCAATTATACAACAGAGTCTGGTATTTTTTTAAACATTATCTGACATATTTATTGATAGAGCAAGGAAATTGAGGCGAACACCTACCCACACTGATGTAATATCTTAATACAGAGCACAAACAACACATTTATTATTTATTTAACACATGCATCAGCTATACTATTTCTCTTTAAATTTCTGCAAGTAAGACAGAAAGCACTGGTCATGTCAGTAGTTGTCAGCCCGACTATGTAAGACGCCAGCTCAGATAGTGTACACAACTACTGCTAGTCAGTGGACATCAACACAAGCAAAGTCAATCAAATTGAGTGTGAGTCCTGACGCTACAGAAATCGACAATATAAGGTCGTCAAAACAGTGAATTTATTTATTTATTTTTCTCTAATGCCTGCCTCAGGATTGCGTCACATGGTCAGCTTCACCGAGGGCGGGTACTTCATCATGAAGTGCGAGGCGGCGGCGCTCGGCGACCGCGCGCTGCCCGCCTTCACGCGCCCCAAGCGCTTCCAGAACGTCACGCTCGCGGGCTGCGCGCCGCCGCCCGGCTCCTACGCCGCCGCGCTCGCCGCGCTCAACGTCACGCGGCCGGCGCGCCTCATCCTCGCCGGCCTGCCGCGGCCCGCGCGCCTCGCCGCCGCCGCCTTCGCCGGCCTCGAGCAGCTGCGCGCGCTGGAGCTCAGCGCCGGCCGCGGGCCCGGCGCGCTCGAGCTGGCCCGCGACGCGCTGCGGCCGCTGGCGCTGCGCTCGCTCGCGCTCGTGGGCGTGCGCCCGCCCGCGCTGCCGCCGCGCCTCGACAGCCTGCGCCTGCGCTACACCGGGCTCGACGCGCTGCCGCCCGAGGCGCGCGACGTCGTCACGCTCGAGGTGGGCCCGGCGAATCACGGCGGCGGTCGGTCCACCGATTTCGGTGATCGATACTCGTATCAGTCCAAATTCCTTTATTTGCATGGATTATTAAAAATAGCTCTTACAAATCGTCAAATCTTCTATACTTATAATAAATCTGTAGAGAGGTCAATTCTGTACATGAAATATATTTTCAAAATAACTATCAGGGGGTGATTAGTGATCGATACTGATGCCAAAAATGCAATCAGTAAAATTTTTGTCTGTCTGGTTCCTTATAAAAGCAAAAACTACTCGACGGATTTTAACGAAACTTGGTACAATTATTCTTCATACTCCTGGGATGTCAGTAGTTGTCAGCCCGACTATGTAAGACGCCAGCTCAGATAGTGTACACAACTACTGCTAGTCAGTGGACATCAACACAAGCAAAGTCAATCAAATTGAGTGTGAGTCCTGACGCTACAGAAATCGACAATATAAGGTCGTCAAAACAGTGAATTTATTTATTTATTTTTCTCTAATGCCTGCCTCAGGATTGCGTCACATGGTCAGCTTCACCGAGGGCGGGTACTTCATCATGAAGTGCGAGGCGGCGGCGCTCGGCGACCGCGCGCTGCCCGCCTTCACGCGCCCCAAGCGCTTCCAGAACGTCACGCTCGCGGGCTGCGCGCCGCCGCCCGGCTCCTACGCCGCCGCGCTCGCCGCGCTCAACGTCACGCGGCCGGCGCGCCTCATCCTCGCCGGCCTGCCGCGGCCCGCGCGCCTCGCCGCCGCCGCCTTCGCCGGCCTCGAGCAGCTGCGCGCGCTGGAGCTCAGCGCCGGCCGCGGGCCCGGCGCGCTCGAGCTGGCCCGCGACGCGCTGCGGCCGCTGGCGCTGCGCTCGCTCGCGCTCGTGGGCGTGCGCCCGCCCGCGCTGCCGCCGCGCCTCGACAGCCTGCGCCTGCGCTACACCGGGCTCGACGCGCTGCCGCCCGAGGCGCGCGACGTCGTCACGCTCGAGGTGGGCCCGGCGAATCACGGCGGCGGTCGGTCCACCGATTTCGGTGATCGATACTCGTATCAGTCCAAATTCCTTTATTTGCATGGATTATTAAAAATAGCTCTTACAAATCGTCAAATCTTCTATACTTATAATAAATCTGTAGAGAGGTCAATTCTGTACATGAAATATATTTTCAAAATAACTATCAGGGGGTGATTAGTGATCGATACTGATGCCAAAAATGCAATCAGTAAAATTTTTGTCTGTCTGGTTCCTTATAAAAGCAAAAACTACTCGACGGATTTTAACGAAACTTGGTACAATTATTCTTCATACTCCTGGGCAGTATACTTAGGAACTCCCACGGGAACGGGTATTAGCGGGAAAATCATTTTGTATGAAAAAATCTATACCGCGTAAGATAGATGAAGGGGGTAAAACGGGATCGAACGAAGTCACGGGCGGCTGCTAGTATTAAAATTAATATAAAAGACTTATGCTAAAAAAAACTGAAATTTTGGTCTCACGGAGCCTTCGCGTGTTTTATAATCTACCTACCTACCTTTTGCGGTACCAGCGCTTCGAGACCGACATTCGGCGAGTGTCGTCGAATCGGTTTTATCACAGGCGCGCAGGCGGAGGAACAAAATGAAAAATATCGGACGTATCACCCGGCAGGTGGTGGAGGAGGCGGTGCGCGGGCTGGGCGGGCCGGCGCCGCGGCTGGAGGTGCTGACGCTGCGCGCGCCGGTGCGGGCGGCGCCCGAGGCCCCGCGGCTGCGGCGCGCGGCGCTGGCGCGCTGGCAGGAGGCGGCGCCGGGCCCGTGGCGCGCCTGCCCGCGCCTGGAGCAGCTGTCGCTCATGGAGGCGGCGGCGCGCGCGCTGCCCGCCGGCTTCGTGGCCGCCTGCCCGCTCCTGGAGGATCTCGAGCTGCAGATGATGCAGGTCCGCCCCTTTTCGTTCCTTATGCCTTGATCACACGTATCGAGTAAACCAGTGAGACAGTGCTCTCGGCCAAGTATTCGGTGTTTGTTTTGTACAATTCGGTTCGTATCGTATGGAGACAGTAGTAGCACTGTCTCGCCCGTTTACTCGGTACGTGTGATCAAGGCTTTACGCACCCCGGACGCGTTTCCGACGTTTATTTTGTAATACTAATTATGTTTCCTTGCTTTTGCAGGCCGAAGCGATCCCGGAAGGATTTCTGCTCAACGCGACCGCTCTCAAGAAGTTCAAAGCGGCGTTCTGGCCGCTAAAGGAGCTGCCGGTCGACCTCTTCGACTACTCGCCGAACCTGGAGGAGATAGACCTCTCGAGTAACGGACTGGAATCGTTACCTAGGTATTTTTCGTTTTCGTACCCCACGATGACTCAACCGAGATAAGAGTTCCCCAAATGTAGAAATGCTTTTAAAAAGCCTACTTACAAAAATAAAATAAGCTTTTAAAAGGTGCAAGTTCGTAGCCGATTGCACGCAGCGGCAGCAGACGACGTGTCGCCGCTTGCACCTTAAGTTTCTTTTTCGAGTTGTTTGACGCAAGAGTGCAATAAATACGTTTGTGGTTGCAGCGGGCTGTTCTCGCGGCTGGCGGGGTCGCTGCGGGTGCTGTCGCTGGCGCGCAACCGGCTGCACGCGGCGGCCGCGCTGCAGGTGGCGCCGCTGGCCGGGCTGCGCCGGCTGTACCTGGCCGACAACCCGCTCGGCGACCTCTGCCCCGCCGCCAGCGCCTCCATCCTCGCGCGCAGTGAGTGTCGCCGAGACCCGGCCTCTGTCGGCGCAGTCCTGTCGCCCCTCCCTGGGGGTGGACGACAGGAATGAGGGCTATCGTTTTTATACTTAACACTTGGCACCCCTGGCGATTGACAGGACCTTACTCTACAGTGGCGCCATCTTGATGAATGCAAATGCGATAGTCCTCCTACCACTTTCGCGCTCACCAGTTGGTGCCACTGTCTTCGCTACTAGCAAGTGACAGGACCTTACTCTACAGTGGCGCCATCTTGATGAATGCAAATGCGATAGTCCTCCTACCACTTTCGCGCTCACCAGTTGGTGCCACTGTCTTCGCTACTAGCAAGTGACAGGACCTTACTCTACTCTCCGTTGTACTCCCTGGCCAGTGGAGACAACAGGCCTGTATTTTTAATCAACGATTTGAGGACTGTCGTCTCCCCCTGTAGGCCTAGGGGCTAGGATGCGCGCCGCGATGAGCGGTTATCACGCCATTTTATCGATTTCGCCCATACATTTTGACGTCGCGTCGATAAAAGTTATTACGGCGCGCATCTCAGGCCTACCGGCGAGCGTCAATCAAAAGCCATAATATTTTTGTAACATACCTATAAAAATACTGAAGCACCTGTGGGTACTTTGTACGTGTGTGTAGCCTAAGTGTTGGTGTAGGGCAGGAAAACCAAGTGATCGACACAAGATTCTAGTTCCAACTCATTTATTTATAATACCTAACTGAATTCATCTTCATCGCCACTCCTCTGTTTTTTTGACTTGACTCGGCTAATTTCCGCATAGTGTAAAAGCAGCAAAACATTACAGTTCTGTGTCACGTGTCTGTGCGTGTGTCAATTTGGACATTGAACTTTAAAGTATCCTATGTCCTTCTCCTGGCTCTAAACTACCTCCCTGACAATTTTCAGCTAAATCGGTTCAGCCGTTCTTGAGTTATAAGTGAAGTAACTAACACGACTTTCTTTTATACAGGGTGTCCCGTAATGTAACGTTAAGCCGGAACTGGGTGTTGAGGCAAGTTATGCTGGTTATCAGAAAAATATAAAAAAAAATCTATGTGGCATTTTGTCAAAATAATAGGCATTTAAAAAAAAACAAAAAATTCTACTCCCGGTGACGGTCTTTCTACTCTTGTTGCCACAAATCTTCACTTTTTCCAAATTTTTTTTTTGTTATGTAAGCCTGAATAATGCTTCTCTAAATTGTTATCAAAATTACAAAACCAGCTGCTCCAACTTGGATGAAAAAAATACATTATTCTCAAAAAAAATATCAAAATAAAAATTTTGCCTAGTTTAAACTGACTGGACTGAAAAAAAATTGTACAACGCGAGTATGGCAAGTGACGTCATAATTTGGCGCATTTAGTAAGGATTCCAAAATGGTATAACACTTTGTAAAATCTTGCTGTAATTGTCGACAATTTTTGTTTATTGGAAATAATCCCATTTTTCACTTTATCTATCTTGGTTAAAAATATTATTCTAATGTGCCCAAAATTCAAGTTTCTGGCTTAAGTGAGGTGGAGAGGCCATTTTAAAAGGTATGAGCGGGACAGAGAGGGCCATCCTACCAAGCAGGGATGTTATGGATATCCGTAACCGTAACCGAAACTGATTCAAAAGTTACGGATAGTTTCGGATAAAGGCGGAGTCTAAGGGTACCATTCCAAACTGCAAAACTCTATGAAATCTGCAGTATACACCTAAATCTTAATATTTGTTACCAACTTGTCTGGCATTCGCTGGCACCATCTAATATGCCAGCCTGTTTTACCTCTTTATCATACATCTTAGTTGGTACATAAAGTAGCTATGTGGGTCACGCTCACGCGGCATCTTGCTATTTGTATTATACCTACATTTTTGAAATTCTAATAATTCCGTAACCGAAATTATCCGAAACTTTGTTGTGACCGTAACCGAAACCGGTATAATATNAGGAGCTGGTGCTGAGCCGCGCGGGGCTGGCGCGCGTGTGCGCCGACTGGACGCACCACATGCCCGCGCTGCGCCGCCTCGACCTCTCGCACAACCGCATCGCCGAGCTGCAGGTACAATAGCGCATCTGTATGGTGTGTACTGCGGCAGGCGCGTCGTACCTGGCGCCGCTGCAGGAGCTGGTGCTGAGCCGCGCGGGGCTGGCGCGCGTGTGCGCCGACTGGACGCACCACATGCCCGCGCTGCGCCGCCTCGACCTCTCGCACAACCGCATCGCCGAGCTGCAGGTACAATAGCGCATCTGTATGGTGTGTACTGCGGCAGGCGCGTCGTACCTGGCGCCGCTGCAGGAGCTGGTGCTGAGCCGCGCGGGGCTGGCGCGCGTGTGCGCCGACTGGACGCACCACATGCCCGCGCTGCGCCGCCTCGACCTCTCGCACAACCGCATCGCCGAGCTGCAGGTACAATAGCGCATCTGTATGGTGTGTACTGCGGCAGGCGCGTCGTACCTGGCGCCGCTGCAGGAGCTGGTGCTGAGCCGCGCGGGGCTGGCGCGCGTGTGCGCCGACTGGACGCACCACATGCCCGCGCTGCGCCGCCTCGACCTCTCGCACAACCGCATCGCCGAGCTGCAGGTACAATAGCGCATCTGTATGGTGTGTACTGCGGCAGGCGCGTCGTACCTGGCGCCGCTGCAGGAGCTGGTGCTGAGCCGCGCGGGGCTGGCGCGCGTGTGCGCCGACTGGACGCACCACATGCCCGCGCTGCGCCGCCTCGACCTCTCGCACAACCGCATCGCCGAGCTGCAGGTACAATAGCGCATCTGTATGGTGTGTACTGCGGCAGGCGCGTCGTACCTGGCGCCGCTGCAGGAGCTGGTGCTGAGCCGCGCGGGGCTGGCGCGCGTGTGCGCCGACTGGACGCACCACATGCCCGCGCTGCGCCGCCTCGACCTCTCGCACAACCGCATCGCCGAGCTGCAGGTACAATAGCGCATCTGTATGGTGTGTACTGCGGCAGGCGCGTCGTACCTGGCGCCGCTGCAGGAGCTGGTGCTGAGCCGCGCGGGGCTGGCGCGCGTGTGCGCCGACTGGACGCACCACATGCCCGCGCTGCGCCGCCTCGACCTCTCGCACAACCGCATCGCCGAGCTGCAGGTACAATAGCGCATCTGTATGGTGTGTACTGCGGCAGGCGCGTCGTACCTGGCGCCGCTGCAGGAGCTGGTGCTGAGCCGCGCGGGGCTGGCGCGCGTGTGCGCCGACTGGACGCACCACATGCCCGCGCTGCGCCGCCTCGACCTCTCGCACAACCGCATCGCCGAGCTGCAGGTACCACCTCATCATCATCATTTCAGCCACAGGACGTCCACTGCTGAACATAGGCCTCCCCCAATGACTTCCACATCGCACGGTTGGCTACCTCTACCTTTATCAGGTCGTCGAGCAAACGTTCCACGCTTTCAATTCATTGTGATAAGACCGCCTGTATTGTACTGTCCCTTGTATTTCTTTTTGTTTTTGTTTATGTATGCTATACTAAAGTGTTCACGCGGAACTAATAATGAAATACATTCTTGAGTTTGAGAATTTATGGTACTTTAGACAATAATATTACATTTAAATTGGAGTTAACGTGCCGGCCAGCACATCAAGCCGGTTCGGTGGCTGATAGGCGAGAGAGGGATACAGTGAGTGGAAGAGTGAACGCGCGCACGGACCGAATGTGATTGAACGATAGTGATGTGTAGCTGTCTGTCATAGACAATTGTATTTATTATTATTATGATATTTCAATTCTCCGTGGCACTCGTCGATTGCGAATTACGAGCTTATGAATCCACGGCGGCTTCGTGTTTCAGTTCGCGGACCTGAAGATCCAGCGCACGGTGGCCAACGCCGAGGTGGAGCTCAGCTACAACCCGCTGCACGTCGTGCGCTGCTCGCGCGAGGACTACGAGCTGGCGCGCGACGAGCCCGTGCCGCAACAGGTGATATGATATATCATGCAAAGATGATAGTTGATAAAGTCTGGTCCGTGAGTATGTACAATTTTGTCCAATGACCCCAAGCTATCCATCCTTATCGCTCGCGTGTAATTATATTGCTGTCGCGACTGTGCGACGGGCGCCTGCAGTGAGTGTGCGAGCGCGACAGCAACATAATTACGCGCGAGCGAGCTTAGGCAAAATTCTACGTGCTCACGGACCAGGCTTTAGTACTAGTTCATGAGCTATGATGCTAATGAGGGCTATCGTTTTAGCGCTTACCAGTTAGCGCCACTGTAGAGTAAGGTCCTGTCATTTGCTAGTAGCGAAGACAGTGGCGCCAACTTGTGGGATTATCGCATTTACACTCATCAAGATGGCGCCACTGTAGAGTTCGCCAGGGGTGCCAACTGTTAAGTATAAAAACGATAGCTCTCATTGCACCCCCATGATCATGGCAGGGGCCTTGAAAAAGAACCCTAGATACGCCAACGCGAGCCGTTCACTGAATCTTCGCTCGTTTCGCAGTCGGCGAAGATCATAATGGACTCGCGGCTCGAGTGCACGTGCCGCGAGTACTGGCTGGCGCTGGCGCTGCGCGAGGGCCGCCTGCCGGGCTTCGAGCCGCGCTGCGCCGCCGCCGCCGACCCGGCCGGCCGCGCGCTGCTGCACCGCCCGCTGCAAAAACTAATTCTAATAAATAAAAACTTAATAAAATAAATACTTACCAACTCTATACTTACTTACTGCATAAAACCATCCAAGCGAATCGATCACGACACTACTCCTTACAAAGTTGCAAGTATAAACAATGCCCTGTTCCAGCCTCTGATAAGCGGCATACAGTTAGAATAAGAATGTAGGCTATTTTTAGAACCAATGGTTCACTCTTAGTTTTAGAATATTTAGTTAAATAAGTTTAGATAGGTAATCTCAAATACGTTTTTACATTTCAGCCTATTAACGCAAGTGAGACCGGACTATGTCCAACCGATCAACGCAAGCCCAGGAATATATTTCGACTACGTAGGTGAACTGAAAATAAATGGTGGATATCTGAATGTTTTAGCCCCTATAGATGTTTCCTACGTAGGCCCACAAATTCAAAATTTAAAAATTATGATAAATAAAGTAAATTCTATATGTAAAGTAAGTAAAATCCATAGCGAACAAGAATGCGAAAACATTTTAGGACCCCTCTACACGAGGTATCAAGATATTACAGAGGAATATGACTCTCTGTCCCATCTTCTCTCACAAAGAAGTAAAAGATCTGCCTGGTTTGGAGGCATTGGCTCAGCCCTTAAACAGTTGTTCGGGACTCTGACTGAAGACGATGCCATTAGATATGATAATGCCCTAAGCACCGTCCAAGAAAATGAAAAGAAATTGGCCTCCTTAATTAAACAGAATATCTTAATAACCACTTCCACCTTAATAGCTCAGAATAAGACCTTAGAGAAAATCAGAATTAACGAAGCCAGTTTCCAAATAGCTATTGACAAGCTCATCGCGAACCTAAATAATCTAACTACCGCATCACAAGAGATAGCCATCTCATCTGAACTCAACACAGCCTTTAACATATTAGACTCCGCGATCCTAACAATGTCCTTCCGGCTGGAAGACATTACAAACTCTATCCTCTTTTGCAGTCAAAACGTTTTACACCCATCAGTTATAACACCGCCAAAATTGTATCACGAGCTTGCCAAGAGCTATAGACATTTTCCTAACAATTTAAGATTACCTGTAAGTTTAGATTTAGAATTTATTCACGCCATAATTAGCGCGTCAAAATTGTCTTGTTACTATTTTAGAAGTAAAATAATGTTTATATTACATATAACCCTGGTGACCCCAGAAACCTATTCTTTGTATAACAACGTTCCACTACCGACACCTCATGATGTCGGATCAGTGAAATCATATGCCACTATTATACCTAGCACTAAGTATATAGCAATGACCAAGGATAAATCCCGGTACTGCACCCTGGACAACTTAACCGACTGCAGAGTGATAAGTTCTGAAACATACATTTGTGATATAATGAACACATACACACCCAGTGCCCGTATAACGTGTGAAAGTGAAGTGTTAACGAAANAGGTACTTCTACTTTATCATAAACACAAATAATTGTCTCAACATGTAAGTAACAAATACTTCATTATTCTGTTTATATTTGAACTTCGCATGATAAACGTTTCCCACGTTTATTTATTGAATCAAATGAGAACGGCAAACAATAATTTATTTGCGAAGATAATTTAAACTGTACTAATTACATTAATAAACAAAGTTATTTACAAGGTTTAATGAGATAACACGTCTTCCGCTCAGTTAATATTTTGTCTAGTCTATAAATTTATGTTTGTCAACATCAGCTAATGTTACTGTCAAGATACATAATTAGAACCAAAACAATAAGGGTGAGTTGCACCACCTAACTTTAACCGTGACTATAACGATAACCGACGTATTTTGTATGGAGTTTGACAGATTTTTGACATTTGTTAAATTCAAAGTAAGATGGTGCAACCCAGCCTACGGAAACATTGCTCTTTCTTTGAAAATTATGAATATAAATGGTTGGCAACGAATTAACAAACTAAATACATATTTTTCTGTACAGAAGTGTTTTTCATTAGCAAAGGATTATCCGATTCGAAGGTCCGATTTAGCCACCACAGGTGCATATCACGTTATAACCTATGAGAATCCACTGTGTGACGTACATACCCCCATAGTGTGCTACATAGCATGAACTCCCTCTTTTTACAAAAACCTTCTCTTGCATAAAAAAACGGTTGTGGCCTTAGTGGATACAACCTTTACTAATAAGAAAAAAATCCTCAAATATTTGGAACAGCCAGCTATGTTCTCCATTCACACTGTCCGTATGTCACACTCCACATTTCGACGAGAAAAAATGCTAAACAGTCATCTTGTGAGGCTATCACACCGTTCATTTTACACGCGCCGCTCAGTGATTTCCTTCGTGTATGTTTGAAGGGATATTACTTGAAACGTACTTTATTTCTTCATTTTGTTTCCCTTTCTTTCATCTTTACTTCCTTTGCAAGCATTGTTAGGGATAAAAAAGATAGGACTGTCAAAATTTGAAAGGAAGCGTTTACAATCATTTGGGTGACTTTATAAATAACCCTTCTTCTGGCGCAGTCGGTTAATAAACATGAGCAACATAGTTTTTATACTTTCAATTACCTACTATTAAATAACATATTAACTACAGAAGAATTAGGAACAATACAAACAGGTATGATATTAAAAAGCAAAAAACTCCGAAACTCATGTACCTACTATCTACTAAAAAAATCACAGATGGACGTAATATTCTCCCTAAATAACTGACAAATGGTCCGGAGGCAATCACCTTTCCTAAAAACCGTACTTCCACATTATTTGACAGAACCATTTTAGTACCTTGACCGATTTACCCGGATACTTGGTAACCCTATTTGTGAAGGGATGGGTTAGTACGCTCGAAAGAATTGATCCTTTCAAATATTGTGAAGATTTTGCCCGACCCAATACAATTGCGCTTTTGGATTTTACATTTGACGCCTCAAATCATAAATTGGTATGGATTTGTGTGAATTGAGTTGTATGGGATTTTTTGACTTGATCTGCCTTGAAATTATAACTAGTCGAGCGAGCTACGCGAGGTTTCGAAGTCGTACTCCTCATTTATGTTTGTATTTACTAAGGATTTCCATAACGACGGTCCTGCGCTGCCTGCATGCAGGTACTTCTCGCGACGTTCACCAGATCATCCGTCCACCTAGTGGAGGGCCTGCCCACACTACGTCTTCCGGTTCGTGGTCGCCACTTGAGAACTTTTCTTCTCCAGATGATTATCACTTATACTGGTACAAAACCATAATAATAAAATGCGTACAAAACGTTTATAAACTACGTAAATAAAACTGTAGTAAACTACTCAACAAAATAAGTTTCAAACGCCTAATAAATATAATTTTCCCGCCTCCTCTTTTCAACCCGGTTGTTTTACTCATACTAAACATGAATTACCTTTTCCATAACAGATAAAAAGCTCCACAGCCTTTAGATAAAAGATAGGCCATGCCGCGTTTTACAACACATCTGCCTTGTAGCTTTTGGAGCTTTGAATATTAACAAGGGCAGACAAAGGGATGGGTACTAAAAGCTAAGGGAGTTTTTTCGGCGACGCAAAATATGAAATGACAGTTAAAATGTCATTAGAGGACAGATGTGTAGGGTAATTCAAGTGCAATCTGTCATTTCAATCTATTCTATTTGTCATTTAGCTTGTTTAATCTGTGCTGAATAAAGTGCACAATATTTAAGCAGGATATGGTTGNCAAGTTAATGGGGCTCTTTAAAAAAACGTCGAAAAAACTAAGCGCTGTATTACATATTATTTTGTACTTTTTTGTGGGTAGTCCAATTTATTTTATCTCGTAAATCAAAATTCACACTGTGCGCCAGCGGCAGTTCAAATAATAACAACGAAAACAAGTTAAAATAACCGAACAAGTGATAATAATAATAATAACTACCTGTTCTGCTACTGCACCGTCGGTAGGTCTAAATGCAGGGGCGTCGCCGACCGTGTTTAGGGCTCGCCACAGATCACTATATTTGTTGGGGCTCGCTCTGTTTCGGTGATGCCTTCTTGAGTTGTATACGTTTAGACACAGTTTGGTTGAGGGCTCACGAATCACACACAATATCACCAATTTTATATCGCAGCCGTAAAATAACGTACCGCGCGGTCCCGGTCCGGCGCGAAAGAACGGTTCGTGCACCGGCCGCACCGTGGCGCTGTAGTCGCGCGCCCGCGCTGCACCGAGGCGCTGCTGTAGGCACGTATGTATTGGCGGCAGATTTAAAATCATTCTCACCCAGTTGCTGAGTAGAATTGAACGTATGTGTACCTGAACAGTTCTCATGCTGACCTAATCTAAAGATACTGATCTTTAATACTAATATTAGCTTTTGCTCGCTGCTTCAGACACGTGGATTTATCATAAATAATAGGCGGTGTTATTCAGCATAAACAATATTACTAGTTTGATTTTATAACATTCGTTCAGTAGTTTTGTACCCCTCACAAACTTTCACATTAATGGATGGATGTTGGATTATCTTTCATAAAAATAACAGCAATAATAAAAATCAAATTAAAAAACATTTTTTATCGGGATCCAAATAAAAACAAAAATTATATTTTAACATATATTTTCACAACTTGGTTGTATTAATGGCCTGCGAACGAGTGGAGTTTGTCAGTGGAATGTCCAAAATAACAAATTTCAATAAATGCAATAATAATTCGAGTCGATAAGATTTTATGATCATGTTTTACATGATTTTCCATGGATTTTATTCCCGCATACTTAATTTATCTAAAACTATGACTATTATTGTAAATAAAATTCACAAACAACATTTTTGTCGTAAAACGACTACGAATTTTTCATATTCAACGAACTTGTATTGCGCAAATATTAGATCAACAATATAATTGGCTTGATTGCTAACATTGGTATTCATTGCACTGATTCTGATTCTTGTTCAACTTAAGGCCCAGAACAGACGGTGAAACGCAACTGCAACGAAACAGCAACTGCTAGTTACTTTTGAGTTGCATCTAAGTTTCTGTCATAGCGTCCGTTGAGAGACCACACATGACGCGATCAGTTTGAAAC